TGTTCCGCGAAGCGGTCATCCAGTCTGTGCTTGGTTTCCCCAATATACAGACCACCACATCATGAGCAGCAAATGCAGTAGACTAGATTGTGAGAAGTTCACCTGGAAGGCATGTTTGGGCCCTTGGATAGTGGGGACGGAGGAGGCAAGTGGGCAGTTGTTAAACTTTCAGCAGTTGCAGGGCAACATGGTATGGGGCTGGCAGGGGGAGGGGGTGCTGGGGGCTGGTGTTGGAAGTGAAGGAAGAATGAACTAGGGTGTCCCAGAGGGAATAGCCCCTGCAGAAGACAGGCATGGGATGGGAGGGGAATGTGCGTCTGGTGGTGGCATCTTGCTGGAGGTGGCAGAAATGGCAGCTGATGATCTTCTTGATGTGGATACTGGTGGGATGGTAGGTAAGGACAAGGGGAACCCTATCGCTGTTACGGGAGGAAAGAGAGGCAGCGAGGCAGGAGTGCAGACGATGGGTCAGACCCAGCTGAGGGCCCTGTCGACCACAGTGCTGGGGAATCCTCAGTTGAATAAAGGGGAAATCCTAGCTATCATCAGTTGTGAGGAAGGGTCACTAGACTCTAAACTTTAGCTCTGATTTCTCATCATAGATGCTGCCAGGCCTGCTAAGCTTTTCCAGCAATTTCTGTTTTTATTACCAATACTAACTGGTGGCTGCAAAGATTTCTGGCTGTTGCCTTACACTAATCCTCCCAAGGACTCCTGCAGAACAAGATTCCTCAACCTTCCCAGATGAAAATGCCAAGAAACTGGAAGGATCAAGATTGCCTCCTGAATCCCCTAGCAGCATAGCTGACAACATGTTGTTGGGGTCGATAAGTATGGACATTGTGGGACCACACGCTGGTGAGTTTCACACACTGACAGCTCCACATATGAGTGAAGAGAAGTGCCCAGGCCATTGGCCATCAGAGATTCGCTAGAAACCAAGAACTTACTGATCCCCTGACAGCAGATGACCCTGTGGCATCAGTGTTGAAGGACTTTAGCCGGATGCGCAGTGAGAAGTAGCAGCAGCAGGCTGAGGAACTGGACCTCGTTAGGTGAGAAGCTGGAGTGATACATCCAGTCCCGTGACATACTTCCTATTATCATTCAGACGCTGCAGCGGCGTAGCCAGTCCTTTGACTGCCCATTTGCCTTCACAGAAAGGTTGGTGGTTGCCATGGAAACACAGACCAGCATGTTCAAGGGGTCCTGGAAAGTCAAGAACACTTCTTGACTTCTTGTACTCCATCGCCCTACGCATCGATGGTCAGGTACGGCCAGAGTGGGGAATGCAGCCTTGAGCCCATTCCTGATGCCCACACCACACAATGAGACAGGGTGGTGCTAGGAGGCACTCAGCTGAAAGTGGAGCAATACACACAGGCCACTCAAAAATCTCCACTCAGGAGACTGCAGAGGTTGCCAGACCCTCCACCTCCAACCAGCCTGCTTCGAAGTTCCAGCCATGGAGGGTGAACTTGCCCCTGATATAATCATATTCAGTACATCTGGTCCATCCAAATCCCTGGGAGTGCCAAAAACAAACATTCAGGGTCAATGGGCTCCTTTCTGAAGCATGCTCCCTCCACCCCGAGTGATGAGCAGGTCTACGCATCCATAGCAAGATGATAAAGAGGAGAAAATTATGCTAAGGGCATATGGGGTTTACAGCTAACAATGTTATATAAGTAACTTGTTTTGCACACAGTATTATGTAAATAATTTTACTTCACAAATAGTTGCTTTCCATTGTTCATGTAGTTGACCCTGTCTGTTTTGTTATGCCTCACTGGGTACAGAGATGGGAATCAAGCCCTGCTATTCCTGGAGTCTCAAAAACTTAAAGATTGTAACAGAAGTACAAAAATTCCCTAATTTACCTGTCATTTAGATCGAGGTTTGCAGACCAGGTTTCAGTACAGTTTCCAGCTATAGGTGAACAATTATGAACTGTGAACATATAGCTCTACCGGTTGAAAATAACTCCCTGATAAAACTCCCTGTATACACATAAATAGCAAGACAGATGGGGAAAAATGGTGTCATGGGGGAGGAAACAAGTGAAAAGGCAGCCCCTGTCCACAAGCTTCACTGAGATATTCTTTTTGACTGTCAGCACATGACAAGAATCAAGGAGTGGCAAGACACTTTCATTTGCTTGCAGAAAGTACAGCGTAGCTGGTTCACACTCAAACTCTCTGGCTTTCTGGTTAACAGCCACAGCTTATAGCAACTGACAAAAGGAAAAATAAACTGACTTTCTTCAGACTTAAGATTTTCTTTAAATCTGTAGAGAAAATAGACAACTCCTGCCCTTGCAGAGATCTCTCAGCTTTTGCTTAACTCATTCCATCCCAAGCTTCCATTTCTTGGGAACCAATCACAATTGCTGAAGGGTAGAAGGACCTTACCATTGTTAACTACTCATTAGTCCACAGACAAATAAAGTTACTTCTTGCCAGCCAAGCCTTAAATTGTAGAGACCACTGGCTCCAGATCAGCTGTAACCAGACTTCAACTACTACATAAACAAGTACCTGTATAAATAGCATTTACAAAGAGTGTCAGGTTACTTGCTTGTAAAAAATGTACAGCAATCCTTCAACAATACTTTGTTTTAAAAACAGTTCTTTTCCTATCACAGTCCACAATTCAAGATACAGAAAAATAAAAAGATATGGTCTTGATAGTTTTGACTCTGGACGCTTCATTGCATTGTGCAGCATCACTAGTTGGCCTTTAACAAGGCGCAATAGCTGGGGGCACACAACAAGTGCCAAATATATTAAGTGGGAGCAAAGGTAGCACTGTGGTGTTTTGGATTGGCTCACTTCATCACCTCAGTTATCCGTCCCCACCTTTTAACATAGCTGGCTGAACAGTAGGCAGTCTGAGCAGGAGTATAAATCTGGAGGGAGCTCCCCAGCAGTGATGGAGGTGTAACACAGATGGTAAATGCTGCAGAATGGCTGGGAATAGGGATCCTGCATGCCTGATTTGCTGAGACTTCACATGTTGGAGGCCGACGTTGCTCCCTACAAATACCACGAATGGTCACAGATGCAGCCCGTCTACCTCATCCTTTGTAAGTGCCTTCGCAGCCGTTCTCAACATTGTATGCGCATTAGAATTGGAATAATAGCAAGTGGTTCTGTGCCAAATTAATGCACTACTGAGCCCCACAAAATTACCCTGGTTTCTAAATACCCATTCACTAAACCAACAGACCTCATACGAGATCATCACCAAAGCAACACACATGCTTATAATTACCTACCTGCTGCTCAGCTCCTTCCCCAAGCCCCCTTTATTTCTGTAGCAGGATGACTGTTGTCCACCTATTAGCACAATCACCCCGCCACTACCCACAGGTTGGCCCCTGTGGTGGCTGACCATAACCTACTCAGGGCATAGTGACACAGGCTATGCAACACCATTCTTGACTGGATGCCTAACCATGGTTGAAGCCTGGGCCTGGTTTAGAAGGTTGCCCTGGACAAAAGGTGATGAGCCCCCTGACTGTTGGGTGCCCCTGTGGATATCCCCGTGACTTCCAGGCTGCCCACTGCATTTGCTATTTGCTTGCCATGGGTGCTGAACCCAGGTAGTACAGGTGTTTTGGCACACTAAGGTAAGCCCTTGACTGAGGACTGCTGAACAGCATGGCCACTTGTCTGGTTGTGCGACTTTGCCCACTGCCAATGCAAATCATGCTGGTAGGCACCAGGTGAACGTATACTGGGATTAAGGGAGCAGCCCTCTTTCTTACCATGAAAGGGATCCTTGTCCCTGTGTGGTAACTGTACTCAAAACAGCTGTGCAGTGCTGGTTGCCTATGTGCCCTTCTCAACAAGTCTGCCTTTTTAGGGCACAGTAACACTGCATATGAGGGTGCCAGGATGGTGGTGATGGCTCCGTGAAAGTGCAGTGCCAACGTATGTGTGACACGAGACCTGCAGTTTGTCCACATGCAAATGACCTCCATCTTGGAGGAGTTGGTAAGTTGAAGACACCAAAAACCTACTGTGGTTTCCACATCAGGTTTCCCCGAGGTCTAGTTTGTATGACGAGTTTGATAGGACTGCAACCTGCAGCAAGTTGTGCTGTTAACAAGGCATTTAATAAGCAATGATGAATACCTTGTGAGAACTCACCATAGCCTACAAGAATCTTGCCACACTGCTTGAGAAAAGCATACAATATGCGATGAGATGATTTCAACAGGTGTTGCTAAACATGTCATGATTTTACCTCACACCCTGCCATAGCCCATATCGTTCAGACCATGGAAAATTGTGCCTTTTGTCCTGCAATTTTAATTTCAAAAATCTTTCACTTCTGAAGAATACTGTGCTGTTTAGAAACTTAAATCTATCATGAAACAGGGAAAAATTATTACACTATGTTCTTTGAGTCATAGAACAGTCGGTGACATTCATCTGTATAGAGAAAAATCGGCGTTCAAGTCCTCCACAGAGAAGTGAGCACACATATCCAGAGAAGCAGTATAGACAATACCTGAAGGTGAGCTCTGCAATTTAAGGTATTTTCAAATATGATTTTAAATCCTGAGCCCCCATCTGCTCTTTAACGTGCACATGAAAAATTCTTTTTGCTTCTTCTTTGGTAGTTTGACAAACCGTCAAGGGTCACTACTTGGCATCCTGGTCAACATTAATCCACGATCAATACCAGTAAAATCAGAGTATCCTTTCTTTTTCACTGGAGATTGCTAGAATGCAAATTTACTGCCACTTGTAGTCACTGCTTGCATGCAGGACATGACAAAGGTACACTAGCTTTAAGTGCAATTATTTTCAAGTGCTGTAAAGATTATCTGTTCTGCCCAATATACGCATTACACGCCCATCAAAGGATTGTCATAAACATGTCATACACATGCCCACATGCACTTTAAACGTTTGAATAATTAAACAAGAAATGTTAATCATGTTCAGATATCACTGGATTTCAACACCAGTATGACGTTTTGAACTTACATAGATGTTGTCCTGTTTAAATCGAATGTGTAAATTATGCATGATTGCCCCTTCATGCAGCTCTGCCAAGGTTGCCATATCCTCAACACCTTCAACGCTCGTTGGATGCATAGTCACCACTTTTTCCCTGGTTAATGTATTTACTTTATAAATGAACACCTGTTTAAAACAAAAATTAATATGTAAACCAAATCAGGTACAAACATGGTGGATGCACAGTTGAATTTGAGAGTCAAAGATGAATTGGGCAAATATAAATAAACCTTTTAGTTTTCATTCCAAAAAGATAATTCACATGCAATGCATTTTACTCATTAAGTTCCAAAGTGCTTGGAGAAAGTGCACTGCTCCAAGTATTAGCATTCCATGGATTTTTATAATTGTAAAACACTTACAGGGGCTGTGGCATCAGTGAGGACCTAGTCTAGGGGCTACATACATATGTAATTCCCTACTTACCAAGCCTCAAATTCTTACTAGTGACCTGGTAACTGGAACACTTAGAAGGGCATTGGTCTCTTTGGGGATACAGGATAGGTTTCAGGTTAGGTTACTGCCTGGACCCCTAGAAAAGCCATTTGATCTGCCTTAAAAGCTCCTTAGTAACATGAGACAATAGTAGAGGCCATCACAAGGCATTATCCTGTGGCAATTGTTTGGATCATAGTCCACGAGAATTTAATGACTTAAATGTGCAGTTTCATACAAGTTATACAAATGTTAGACCAGAAAGCATGGAGGCCGTATGCTCCAAACTACAACTCCTGATTATCAATTGAGGAGAAAGTGTAGAGAAAATATTTCCAAACTAATCTAAAGTCTATTTGGAATATAAAATCAAATCAAATTATTTCAATTGATAAAAACTTCAGGGGAGAGGTCGTTTTCTTTGAGACATTGTGCAATTTTGAATACCAAACATGCGTGCATAGCATCATAGGATTACAGAGAAAATTTTCAAACCATCAATATCTGAAACTTGCACTTCCACGTAGCGAAAACACAGTTGCTTGATATGTAGGTTTCTGAAAGCAGCTTCACCATGTCTGCATCATCGATCATAGAATCCCTACAGTGTGGAAACAGGCCCTTCGGCCCAACAAGTCCACACTGAACCAGAGCATCCCACCCATCCCTCTGTAACTCACCTAATCTACACATCCCTGAACACTGTGGGCAATTTACCGCAGCCAATCCACCGAACCTGCACATCTTTGGACTGTGGGAGGAAACCGGAGCACCTGGAGGAAATCCACACAGACACAGGGGGAATGTGCAAACTCCACACAGACAGTCACCCGAGGGGGGAACTGAACCTGGGTCTCTGGTGCTGTGAGGCAGCAGTGCTAACCACTGAGCCACTGTGCCGCATCCTTCATTCCTGTATTCTGTACATTAAGCAATGTGCCTTTTCCATTTGGCACAAGCAATTAAAGCACTGTCTCTACCTTTAATGCATGATGACAGGTCTCATTAAGTAGAGAATGGAAGTGAACTCAAAATTAGCATTTGATCGGATTTAACTGTTTAGTTAGCTAAGATGCCAATAAATAGGCACCCCCTTAAACCCTTGTCTGCTTGAATATATAACCACAATGAAAATTCCTGAAGAGTATTGATATGACAACAGTTTTACATTAAACATTGGCACGAAAAGAGTCATGGGGTCAGAATTTTACTACAACAAAAGAGGCATATCTGTGTCCATATAGGTCATCAAGTGCCATTTTCTACCTCTTAGCCCATAGTCCATGTTATGCAACATGCTCTTTAATTAGCAATGCAACTTCCCCACCCCTTTTACATTCCTCTCTATCACACTTGAAATGTCTTAACCCTAGAACGTTGGCCTGTCAGTCCTGTCCTCTCAACCAAGTTTTCGTAATGGCTACAACATCACAGTTCCATATATTTATTCAGGCTCTAACCTCATCTGCATTACCTATTAAACACATTGCATTGAAACGCACTTCAAACCACCAGTCCTGCCATGCTCACTCACCCGCCTATTCTTCCTATTAGACTTACTTGCTTTAAATTCCAAAATCACTCCACATGCTGACCACCAGTTGCTCAGGTTACTGAACCTCACTCTGCCCCCAAACCCACCACATTTAGTTTAAACCCTCCCAACATTGGCAAACCTCTCTGCAAGGATATTGGGACCCCTCCAGTTTAGGTGCAACCTATCCTTCTTGTGCAGGACCCTCCTATCATTGAGATCTTTTCCAGAGCAAAGATATCTGAAGCTCTCCCTGCTACACAAGCTCTTTAGACATGCCAACAATTGAATTATCTTCCTATTTCAGGTCTCACAAGCACATGGCACAGGGAGTAATCCCTAGATTACAACCCTAGAAGTTCTGTTTTTCAGCTTCCTACCTAACACCCTACGTTCCTTTTGCAGGGCCTCCTCCTTTCTGCTTATGTCATTAGTACCAATATGGAGAACCACCACTGACTGCTCACTCTCACTTTTCACAATGTCTGATGTCTCTGAGCAGGCATTCTTGAGCCTGATATAAGGAAGAGAACACGCCATCCTACAGTCTCGCTTGCAGCCACAGAAATGCCTCTGTGTGCATGACCATAGAATCCCCAATCACTACTGTTCACTTACATTTCAACCTTCACTGCTGTACAACAGCACCAATCATGGTGCAACGTTTCTGGGTGTTGTTGTTGCTTCGTCCCCTAAAAGGACATCCACCCACCCCCGAAGGTATCAAAAATGGTATATCTGCTTCAGACGGGTATAGCCACAGGGCAGTCCTATACTGCCAGGAGGGACAGGCTTGGATGTCCTGTCCATGTCTCCTGCGATGAGGAGGAATTTCTTCCCTCAGAGTGTTCAGTATGTTTGGAGCTCCTTACCACAAAGAGCCTTGAGGGCAGAGTCCTTGTGTACGTTTAAGGCTTAGATAGATAGATTCTTCATCAGTGAGGGAATCAAGGGTTCTGGGAAAAAAATGTTGAAAAGTGGATGTGAGGAGTGTCCAATCAACCAGGATCCTACTCAATGGTAGAGCCAGCTCGAGGGAACAAAAAGGCCTCATCCTATTCCTTTTTCTTATGGTATTACGATTTTATGAACAAGTCACCGACTGTTGAGAAGAGAGAAGAGCTACAGGTGCAGGTATAATGATTCAGAAGAAGAGGATAAACACAGTTCTGGCTGTTATCAACCTGAATGGATGCAGGCATGAAACATTGAAAATTATGCAACATTGCACCATGCTGAAGAATGGGATCAGCTTATCAACTAAGAAACAAAAGAGGTTTAGTTCTGCAATTAGACCAGTAGAAAGCAACAAGTTCAAATTAGCATGATTTTTTTAAAAAGTGAGTTAGCGGCCTTCTTGATTTGAGCAGTGGGAGAGGTGAGAGTGGGAGCCAGGGGGCAACCGGGAAGATAAGATTTCCTTACAATAACTTGCCTCGTGAGTCAAGGGTCTTCTTGATTTGAGCAACGGAAAAGATGAGAGTGCGAGCCGGGAAGTGAACTATTATATTCAGATATTGGTTAAACCGGAACACTTCACATGTAGTGTCTCCCACCCATCCTCCTCCTCCTCCTCTAACCAGGGTCAGAAAGGTAAGCTTATTTTTTCTTTATTTTGGCAATCTAGAGTAGAGGGAATGGAAAGTAGGGCAGTTGCGTGCTCCTCTTGTAGGATGTGGGAGGTAAGGGTCACTACTAGTATCTCTTCTGACTTCACCTGCAAGAAGTGCACCCAACTCCAGCTCCTCACAGACCAAGTCAGGGAACTGGAGCTGGAGCTGGATGAACTCCGGATCATTCAGGAGGCTGAGGGGGTGATAGATAGAGGTTATAGGGAGGTTGTCACACCCAAGTTACACAACAAAGGTAGCTGGGTGACTGTCAGGAGGGGGAAAGGGAATAGGCAGACAGTGCAGGGATCCCCAGTGGCCGTTCCCCTCAATAATAAGTACACCGCCTTGAATACTGTTAGTGGGGGAAGACCTACCAGAGGAAAGCCATAGCAGCCAGGTCTCTGGCACTGAGCCTGGCTCTGTGGCTCAGAAGGGAAGGGGGGAGAATAGGAGAGTGATAGTGATAGGAGATTCAATGGTTAGGGGAACAGACAGGAGATACTGTAGTACCGAGTGAGACTCCCAGATGGTACGTTGCCTCCTGGCTGCCAGGGTCAGGGATGTCTTGGATCGAGTCTACAGGATTCTTAAGGGGGAGGGAGAGCTGCCAGAAGTTGTGGTACACATCAGTACCAATGGCTCAGCTAGGAAATGGGATGAGGACCTGAAAAGTGAATATAGGGTGTTAGGATGGAAGCTAAAAGGCAGGACGAGCAGACTAATAATCTCAGGATTACTACCGGTGCCACAGGCTAGTGAGACCAGGAATAGAGAGCGAGTGCAGCTGAACATGTGGCTACAGAGCTGGTGTAGGAGGGAGGGCTTCAGATTTGTGGATCATTGGAATACCTTCTAGGGAAGGTGGGCCTGTACAGGAAGGACGGGTAGCACCTGAACTGGAGGGGCACCAATATCCTGGGCGGGAGGTTTGCTAGAGCTCTTCGGGAGGGTTTTAACTAGTTTTGCAGGAGCATGGGAACCGGAGCTACAGATCAAAGGATGGGTTTGCCGGTATACAGGCAGAAACAGCATGCAGAGAATCTGTGAGGAAGGATAAGCAGTTGATAGGGCAAAGCTGCAGTCAGTGCCACGGGTGTCTATTTTAATGCAAGAAATGTCAGTAATTAGGGTGACGAACTTAGAGCATGGATCAGTACTTGGAATTATGACGTTGTGGCCATTACGGAGACTTGGATAACACAGGGGCAGGAATGGTTGTTGGATGTTCCGGGGTATAGATGTTTCAAAAGAAATAAGGAAGGGGGTAAAAGAGGTGGGGGAGTGGCATTGGGGATGGTATCACAGCTGCAGAAAGGGAGGTCATGGAGGAGGATTTGTCCACTGAGTCAGAATGGGTGGAAGTCAGAAACAGGAAAGGAGCAGTCACTTTATTGGGAGTTTTATATAGACCCCAATAGCAACAGAGACAATGAGGAACAGATTGGGAGACAGATTGTGGAAAGGTGCAGAAGTAATAGGGTTGTTGTCATGGGTGACTTCAACTTCCCTAATATAGATTGGAACCTCCTAAGTGCAAATAGCTT